CTCTCATCGAATGGAGAAAGGGAGTTCTTTCTTACAAGGCCATTTGTCGGTTCTTATGGAATACTCATCGCGTGATTGGCATTGGGGTTCAACAAAATCCTGAACTGGGCAATCTAGTATATGTTATGCCCGGTTTTTTATCTGTTGTTGGTTGCAGGATAATTCCCCAAAAGGTAGGTCCTTTAGGCCTTCAAGATGGTCGTATTTTATGGGCACCTGTATTTGAAATTCTCTGCAAATACAACGGCTCCACAGCATTCTTTTTACACGGGAGGGAGGAAGGAGCAGATTATGTTTATCCGGGATTGCTAAAATCAGTTGATACGGATTGTAATGTGCTTTTTCTCCAGGTGGAGCCTAGGCATCAACCAGATGAAATAGATAAGGATGTATCACAGATATGGACTGAAATGCCCTTTATCCGTTTGGAATCTGATGATAGAGAGAAGCTCCTCGATTTTGTTAGTAGCCAAGTCCGAGATATTGTTCCACAAGCAGCAAATGCGTTGTTGTTTCCTCTCTCGAGAAATGGTGAGGTTGATTCAGAACAAGATTTTGCAGTCTTACATGAAAGGAGGTTGTTGCTCTTACTAATGTATAATCGTGTTGATACGGATCTTGATTTAAGGTCAAGTGCGGTCTGCAGAAGTCTGGATGGGGATCACCCTAACCGCAGTAAGGGTAAGACTCTGTTTCGATTTCTGAAGACTGGTCTCAAACAGTTACTAAGGAAATCGAGATCAACAACCGGTGATCAAGAACATCTTAAACTTAACGAATTTCTTCGACCAGGCGATATAGTGGGATTGAGTTTACGAGCCAAAACTGTGGACGTACATTGTTATAAAGTGTGGCCTTGTATGCACGAAAGTCTATCCTCTCTCTATAAATTCCCTATTCAGGCTCCCAAGGCAAGTCACGAGTATGCTGGTTTATGGGGAGGGACTTTTGGTTGGCCACCGTCTTCAGACAAGCCCGGAAAGGCCCTTTTCTTGATTTTCATCTCTTATGAAAATCAAGAAATGATTGCCACCAAGATATTAGAAGGTACATCCTATGTTGCGCATCCTAATGGATCGGCTATGTTTATTGTGAATATAGATAAACCATCGGTGGGAATATTCCCATGGGATACTGAAGAAGAATCCAATACTACTATTGATGTTAAGGAGTCGTTTAAAGGAGAAGGTATTTCAGATGGTTATGGTTTCAGATACCCTGGTTCTAAACCCGGTTCGCTTTTTGTTCTTGAAAATGGATTGCTCGTTTTCTTGTGGGAGGAGTCAAGGGAAGTGTTGACTTTGCAGAGGCTCGATTTGGGGGAGCTTTTGAGGAGAGGTGAAAGAGTGAATCCTTTATCGCCAGTTTCGAATTTTGTGTATCTAACGAAGAAGTACACAAATGTTTACTCTGGAAATCCAGATTCAAGAAACCCTCTATTTTTTCCAAGGTATGACTCCTCTGTAGACCATTGCAGTTTTCATCCTCTCAAGTTTGCACCAATTTCACACTTGGTCCCTCGTGTTTCAATAATTTAACACTTTTGGTCATTTATGTCAATTTACTGTTAGTCCTTCAGTTAAGGCAGTTATGGCCACACGCTTGATTCCGTTAGTACTAACGGAACATTGACGGATAATACTAAAAATGTTGAATTGTCGAAGCATGAGGGACCAAATGTGTTTTTTTGTGAACATGGGGACCAAATGTTAAACCGGTGCAAACATGAGGGTTGAAAACTGTATGTTTCCATTTTTTTTTCTTTTTTTCATCGTATCTCGTGATTTATATAGACAAGTTTACTTATCTGACTTGAATATGGCAGATAATAGGAGGCTTGTGTTGTACAAATAATTCTTGTCAGATGGTGTTAATTTTTTTTCTGGTTTTAAAGCTGTAATATTTTTCCATGTTGAATTTGTATTGTGCAAATATTTTTTGTCACGTGCAAAATTGTTAATGGTTTGTAAAATTTCAAAATTCGTTTTTGCTATAGACTCGGGAAAAAAAGAGGATTACAATTTTGTTTGGCATTCACAGGGATGACGTTTAGAGAAAAATCAAAATAAGACTGCGTATGCTGGCGTTGTTCCCCTCTGGTGTTTGTTTGGTTAATCTTGGGGTGGTTTGATTCCGTTTTTTATGCTGCTGCCAAACGAAGAATTGTGCCGTAGATGAAAGAGGTTCGATATATTCTTTCGACTGTACTGATTATGATATTCTGACGAGTTTTTGATAAATGCATTAGAAAAAGAAACATTTGTATAATCGTTGTGTTTGGACTTGTTAAAGTCTGATTGATTTATTTGAGGAATGATGAGTTTGGTGAGTTGTATATTTTTTGCAGTTTTAGTTTTTGTTATATATATATATATATATATATATATATATATATATATATATATATATATATGATTTTTCTCTGCTTTTAATCAGGTAGAAAACAGAAAATTATGTAGCCACTGATTGGTTTATTTAACCCCAAGAATAAAATATATTTCGATCTTAGTCTAATTTGGACACTTACAATGAATACCAACTCTAAAGAATAAACATTGTATTTTTCAGTAGAAGATATAATATCAATTTTCTTTTAAATTAATTTACAATTGAAAAAGTCAAACCTAGGTAGTGTGGTGGAAGTTGGAATGGAATTTTCGAATTCGGCCGATCCCGATCCAAAAATATCCAAATCGGGAACCGTTTGTTTCCCGATTTCCAAATTTTCGATTTCTGGTTTTTCCGATTGTATTTGGAATGAAATCGGAATTGTATATAAAATTATTGGAAATTCCGATGTTCATTCGATTTTAGTTCCGAAACATAAGTTGGATACAGTTTTACTAGAAAGTTCGTATGTGTTTGTGACAATATATCAAATGGACAAACTGATACAAGACATCAGTTTCTGTTTATTTCTCAGCTTAATATATCTGTGAAGTCTTCTTGGTGAATTTACAGTGTGTATCTGTGCTGGAGATGGATTATCTCCTTTAGGGATTTGGTGAAGAATTAAAATAATTTGTCAGTTTATTATAAACAAAAGCCTGACCAATTCTGTTCCTTCATTGGGTGGATTACTCTGATCCCACTAAGTTGAATTAGTTTCAAATAACAAAGTCAATCCTTAATAATTAATTCATCCCCTATATTATTATTATTACCTTCTCCAATTCAAGGCTGTCATCAGTTTTGCTACAATACATGTAAAGTTGAATCTTGTGAGAATGAGCAGCTTGATTCCCTGTCAATTGTTTCTACGAGAATATGTTGTATGCTTAATTGCTTCCGGGTCAGGTAATTTTTCGTTTTTTTTTATTTATTTATTTATTTTGTCTCTCATTCTTGAATATAGAATTGGTTCTTGAACTGAATTATACCCTTTTCGGTATATTTGCAGTCACTCTTTGATTTTGTGATCTTTCGCCGCCCTACGAAAAACAATTTTACCTAAGTCGAGTGTAATGCTGCCTGATATCTGTGGATCGAGCTTGCTTTTTGCTTTGCCGGATGATATATTTTCTGTAATAACGAGTTCCCTCTCTCTGAGGGATGTGTGTAATCTTGGTCTCAGCTGTCCAGGTCTCGACGCTGTTCTGTCCTCCGACAAGGTATGGCTTTCCCAATGTGATAAATTGGGCCTACTCCCTTTTAGTACTCTCATCGAATGGAGAAAGGGAGTTCTTTCTTACAAGGCCCTTTGTCGTTTCTTGGTGAATATTCAACCGTTGATTGGTATTTGGGTCTACAGAAATCCCGAACTCGGGAATGTTGTATATGTTATGCCTGGCTTTCTATCGGTTATTGGATGCCGGATAATTCCCCAAGAGATAGGCCCTTTAGGCCTTGAAGATAGCCCTATTTTGTGGGCACCTGTATTTGAAATTATCTGCAAATACGACTGCTCTAAAGCATTCTTTTTACACGGGAGGGAGCAAGGAGCAGATTATGTTTATCCTGGATTGCTAAAATCATTCGATAGGGATTGTAATGTGCTTTTGCTCGAGGTTGAGCATCGGCTTCAACGTGATGAAGGAAAACTGGCTGATATTAAGAAGTTTGCTGATGAAGCGAAGAAGGAGAAATCTAAGTCACAGAGAATAGTCGGACAGAAATGGACTGAAAATCCTTTTATCCGTTTGGAATCTGATGATCGGAGCAGGCTCCTCGATTTTGTTACTAGCCAAGTCCGTGATGTTGTTCCCGAGGCAGCAAATGTGTTATTGTTTCCTCGCTCGAGAACCGATGAGGTTGATTCGAAACAAGATTTCGCAGCCTTACATGAAAGGAGATTGTTGCTCTTAGAATTGTATGAGCATGGTAACGTGAATCATGATTTAAAATCCGATGAAGGATCGCCTTCGAATCCCACCGAATTAGGATCAAGTGATGATGTCAGCGAAAGTCTCGACAGTACGACTGGCCGTCAGGATCAGTCCAGTAAGGGTAAGAAGACTCTCTCTGCGTTTCTGAAGAACGGTCTCAAAAAGTTACTAAGGCAATCGAGCTCGACAAACAGCGATCGAGAATATCAGGAGGCGGCTATTACCAATAACCAGATAACACTTGACGAGTTTCTTGAATCGGGCAATTGGGTTGGATTGAGCGTACGAGCTGCAACCATGCAATTAAGTCGTTATCAAGCGTGGCCTATTATGCAGAAAAGTATATCCGCTCTCTATAAATTGCCTGTTCAGACTCCCGAGGCGGGTGATGAGTATGCCGGTTTATGGGCAGGGAGTTCTGGTTGGCCGCCATCTACCGGCATGCCCAACGGGTACCTCTGCTTCATTTTCATCTCTTATGAAGAATCCGAAGGGCAGCGACAAATGTTTGCCAACAAGATATTACAAGGTAAACGTGTTATGTATCCTAATGGATCAGCTTTGTTTTTCGTGAATACTTATCAACCATCCGTTGACATATTCCCGTGGGATACAGACGAAGAATCGAATCCTATTAGTGTTAAGCAGTCGTTTAAGGGGGAAGGTATTTCGGATGGTTATGGTTTTAGATACCCTGGTTCTAAACCGGGTTCGCTTTTTGTTCTTGAAAATGGAATGCTCGTTTTCATATGGAAGGAGTCGAGGGATGTGTTGACCTTGAAGAGGCTCGATTTGGCTGATCTTTTAAAGAGAGGTGAAAGAGTGCCTTCTTTACCACCAATTTCCAACTTTGCGTATCTGACGCTGGAATACAGAAATGTTTACTCTGGATCTTCAGAAATTTGGTGATTAATGTATTTTTTCTTGTCTTTTCTCCGAGGTATGAATTTCTAAAAACATTGCTTCTTTTTATGGATGTACTATTTTTTTCTCATCGTATCCAAATTCGTTCCTTGTTATATAATAAAATGTTTGTCCCACCCTTTATTCAGTTCTTCCTTTCTTCCGTATGATCGAGAACTTTGTAAGTAAGTTCACTGCAGTAGTTGATTTTGACTGCAGTAATTCTCTAACGAGTCTCGAAGTGATCAAAACGAGAATTTTTTAAGCTTTCCTTTTTTTTGGGCTTTGAAATATCTAGGGAAAAAATGTATTGAGTTGTAGATAAAGTGGAGACGTGTTGCACTATAAATGTAGCAATCAAATCGTGTCCGAAAGTATTAGAAGAAGGAAAGAAGAATTGTTTGTATATTTAGTGGAGACATTTTTCTATTGCAGTAGTCAAATCCTGCGGACCTGCGCGAACACGAAAATTAAGAATCCTCAGTCGTCAATTTTTGCAATAAGCCCAAAATGCTATCCGAACACTAAATACTCGTTTTTCAAAAGCTTTGGGAGATATTTCCTTTTACCCTTTTTCAATGTGAAGTTATAGCATTGGTAATGACTAACGCGTGCAAAAATATCTATAATACTGTATATGCTGGTGTCGATTCCTTTTTCTTGGGTGGTTTGATTCCTTTTTTTCTTTAGGTGATGCCAAATAAACAAGTTTCTCGTTGATGCAAGAGGTTTGGTATACTCTTTCGACTATGAATGTGGCGATCGAGTTTCGGTAAAATGCAATTAGAAAAGAAACATATGTATAACCATGGTGTTTGGAATTTGGATTGGTAGTTAGTTGTCTGATGTTTTATTTGAGAAAGGCTGAAAATGTTGCTTTGTTTGAGAAAGGCAACGGATATATGCAAGACTAAAATTACTAAGTGCAAGACCTTATTTGATGTAAGACCAAAATATAAATAAACTTACTAAGAGCAAGACTAATAATTACCAATAATAACCTCAATATAGACTTTGATATAATTCATTCAAATTAGACATAATTAAGGCATCTCCGACCGGGTACCAAAATGCCCATTTTTCATCTAATTTAGGTGTTTTAAGCCTCCCACCCGAAATTTCTACATCACCATTACACCTAAAATTATAGAGATTTGGTTTAAGCTTCCCACGGGGTCAACCCCATATT